CTTGGCCCCGGGGCCCCTCCACCTGCCACACATCTCAGCTGCGCCGCGCTGCACTGGGACTGGACACCCACGCCGCGCCATATGCCGCAATGACATCTCACTTTCATTTTCGTAATAAAGTTGTTCATTAAAATGCAACAATGTTGGTTGTGATAAGGCCCACGACGCCGTGCATAAGTTGGGCTGTCCGCGCCGCAACTATAAACTCTAATGCTTTATCGGGCCGGGCTGCCCACTGCACCCCTCCCCGCTCCCCGCGCTCCTCCACTGGGCCCAGGCCGTCCGGAGCAGGGCGGCGGCGGAGTGCTCCGCTGGGGTTGACACCCAAGTTATACACCCTTACCCACCCAGAATCTTTCCTGGTTCCCTGGCTGAGCCGAGCCCCCGCGAATCCCCCACCCTCCCCCGCCCTACTCCCTCTCAAATGCCAGAGGCGCGCGCTTGATTTGCGACGACCCCTTTCTCCGCACCTCCGCTAAAATGTCGGCCGCGGGCGGTACATTTCGCACATCATATATATCGTCATTGTTGCTGGAAGTTTATTGGCCCCTCCTTGCAGAGACTTTTGCACCACCCGCCGGGCGCGCAGGACACACAAAGTACTTTTCTCTGTACGACACCTTTCACCCCGATAACAGCTTTATTACAATGCCCTCTACTGGATGAACTGTGTGTGTGTGTGTTTTGCCCGTGCAGACGTCAAATGAAATACGCGTGCAGGCGTGGCGCTGCGCTGCGCTCGCTGCGCTCGCTGCGCTCGCTGTGAGGGCGGGGCCGGCGCTGGCGGGCGGCGGGGCCGGGCGGGCCGGTGCAGCCCTATCGCTGGTTCATTATGTATGGATCCGCACGCGCCGAGGAGAAGGAGAGCCGCGGCCCGCGAGCTGGGCTGCCCGGCCCGTACAGGTGTCTTACAAATGGCGCATTAGTTCGCACACTCGGCGTAGTCGTGTCCCGTTTCCGAGTCGTTGGTCGCGGAGGCATTTTTTTCTGTTTTTTTTTGTGTGGAGAAAAGAAACGACGCATTTATTGATAGTGACAACTTTTCCTCGAAGTATATTGCTAGGCTTGTAGTGATGGAAAAAATTATAAAGGCGCAGCAAATATTCACTCTGTCTTTCTTTCAGACGTGCGGTAATAATTGGCCCTGTGTTTCCAGGTGGTCCGCGGCTGCGGTCCGGCTCCGGCCCGGCTCCGGACTTGTGCCAAGCGCAAAACGCTATGCAGAGCAGAACGAGTGAGGCTTTAGCATTCCGGCCGTTGACTCGGCTACGACCATAACCACCCACAAGGCCGCCACGCGCCGCCACACCGTACGACGCCGCACCACGCGGCACCACGCCGCACCACGGTTCGCCTCCACGACGCCCGTACGCCCGTGTAGCCTGTCGAAGCTGCTAAGCCTGTCGCTGAAGTCGGAAACTCTGCCTTTGCCACCCCGACCCGTTGAGGAAACACCCCGGCGCGGCTGAGGTAGAGTCCTAGACTCTAGGCTGACTGAGGACGCCGCGGACCCCTTTCGTCGGAGGCAGCCAAGGCGACCCCCTAGCGAGGGGGAGCCGACTGTTAATACGAAGTTGCTGATTAACCCCGCGCACTTCCGTAGTTAGACTTTAACGCACGCACGAGTGCGGTGCGGGCGGGTTGCCTACTCGCCCGGCCCGTAAGGCGCCGTGGACAGGGGCCATAGGCAAGCCCGCCCGCACTTCTGCGTGCGGTACAGTCTAACTACAGAAGTGCATGGGGTATCTCTGGTATCTCTGTGTCAGCCGGATTACAGATTACCCGGATTACCTCTTGAGTATCCCCCGGATTACGTTCCTTTTTCTCTAGCAACACCCCGGTTTAACCTAAAATTTCCCCGGATAACCGCGGATTTATTCGAATTTCCTCGGATTACATCTTCCGGATTACCTAACGGCTGTCAGCCAGACAACCTTGGTTTTGTTCCCCCCTCGCCTCTTAGTCGCCTCTGCGTGGTCGCGGGTCGCGCTGATGGTTGTG